AGTACTACGGCGCCGATCGCATCAGGTGATCCGTAATCACTCATTTGTCGGCACATACGAGTGAAATACCGTGTAAAACATTGTAATACCTGCACTTTCATGGCTTTTATTACCAACAGAAATGCAACATAAAACCAAATTTTCTTTACTCCAGTTTAGTTACAGTAAGTTGTGCTGCTCCCAATTCCAAAATGTCATAATTTATCAAGTCAAAGACTTTTGACAGATCAAGTTGCACTTTCGGTGAACAGTTAGGGTTTGAACCAAAACTGCGCACCATTTTATTAGATGCCTGTAACACACCAGCTCATATCACTTATGTTCAAAACTTGAACCATCAAGTCCTAGAGACCTACCTCATTTCATTTTACTTTAAATAGTTTTAATAACCTTGATTGAGCATCTAATGTCATATAACTTGTGAGTATCACCTTCACACGGGGATTGAGTACTTCGCACAGAAGTGCCTGTTGTAAGCGAAGCAGACTTGAAGTAATGCATGAATATATTAGCTATATTATATAAGATGGGGACTCTGGTTACCCTACTCACATGGCGTAATATACTGCAACCGCCGCGCCCTGGGGCGGGAGAAGGAAAGAGGTGGTTTTTACGTTATCCCCTCTCCCAAAAAAGCCTTCTTCAAGGTGCACCCAAATAGTCATAAATATCGATGCAGTTCAACTATAACTGGATTTTAATCATTGCAAAAGCATAAAAATTAACTTTAGCTGCATACATAATAAGTATTATGTAATTCGTCACTTATTACTAAAATAATGAGCGATTACTGTTGCTCTTTTTATTAGTAAATCAATTCAAATTTTAATTTTGTTTGATACATTTTGTGCCTATCCATTAACGAAATACTAATGTACCTATTATTATTGTCTGCAAATTATGATAACTTGTAGCATTAGAATTTAAAAGGTTTTCTTCCGTTGTCTCAAAATTTAATTTAAAAAGTTATCTGGAGTGCTTCCCACATTTGTCACTAAATGTTGAGTCTCCATCGTACTATTATATGTACAGTCTATCACTACATTATTAGAGTATCTAAATAATGCAGTATCGTCACTTAAACTACATGCTAAGTTAATAATATTTGCTAGAAGGCTAGCAAGTAAAACTTTACATTTTCTAGGAATGGACAAAGATTTCCTAGTCAATTTAAAACCACTAACAAATTTGTTAGTATCAAAAAATAACAAATTGTCACTATGACAAGTCAAATTAAATATCATATTGTTTATGCTATTTATTCTTTGATTTTCAGACACTGACAGAGTGTCTGAATATGGGAAAGCACATAAAACTATCTTTCCCAAATCCAGCTTTAATAAGGTGTTGATACCATCAAGAATGTCCTTTTTTCTAACACCTGTACTATCACCCATCAGTAAAACAACAGGCTGATGTCTTGTGATATGTCCCTGGGCTATTTTGTTGATCAACTCACAAAATTTTAAGAAGAACTGAACTGAAGAACTGAACAAACAACCAAAACCTCCCGCGTTATAGAGATATGTTGTGCACACGTTTTTATAAAGCATGCCTTAAATGTAATAATACTTCGTGTGCACAATTTACCTACATCCTCCGCTTTTCTGAACCTATTTAGTGACTACTCAATTTTATCATAATGATAAATCAATAAACAAAAGTTAAAGCTTAAAGTATTAAAAGATTACAAGCGATAACAAAGATAAATACCAGTCACTGATTCATTATAAATAGTGTTCCCATCACGATATAAAAGAGTAATCAAAGAAACTTGAAGTCCGATATACGTTTAATCTTCTGGAAACGAAAAAAAAAGGTATGTTATTTCGTGGACTTTTTGTCAAAACAATTTCTTGTGGAGTGCGAGGGTGAAATTTCTTTAAAATATACCAATAATTTCTTCAAAGAAAAGAAAGAAAATAGTTCTGCAAATGCCACGTCGTTCTGTAAAGAAGTTCTGTAACAACCATTTTGATTCCAGATGAAGATCCTCGCAGTTGTTTTGTTGGTGGCAATAGCAGCAGGAGTGTACAGCAATGAGGAGCAAGGAGCCAACATGTTGAAATCAGATCAACTGGCGTCCCGGTCATCCTATGGATGGGGAGTCGTTGGAGATGACGACAGACTTATATCAAGGTAAGCGGTTGTAATACTTCATATTTCAATAATTATTGTAATTCTGATGGTGACTCTATTTCACTGTGTGAGTGAGATTATTGGAAGCCTACTTCAGTAGAGTGTACGAGAAAGTATGGGGATTGGGGAAATGGATGTGCCCTACCATAACATAAGGATCAAGGGGATTTATGGTCAGCAAGAGTCTGTCTAGCCACAACCTGGGCGAGAGAAATCATTTGATGATTTGCCCTACTCCAAAAGACGACGTATCTTGTATTTATATATTTCTTTTCTTATTTTGATTGATATGTAAGATGTCCATTTCTGAGTACGTTCCATTTCTTAATTTTGATCGTGTGACTTCGAAAACTGTCTTTGACAACCCTGGCCATAGTGGAACTTTCTAGACGATGTCAGCATTTTGTAAAATATTTAAGCGTCGTCTTACTGTATGATTGTTTTAATACTGATGTGATACTGTTTAAACACGAACGTGGCTAGTTCTTTACATTAAAAGTATTGGGAGCGCATTTCGTGCTTCGTACCCAACCTAAATCTCCTTGTAGCTGATCGTTCAGTAGCCTTTCGAAGACTACTGTATACTGTTTCGCAATGTACAACGAAATAGTTGAATGTGTTTTTTATTGATTTCAGTACATACCACGAGGCATACGATTTACCATACCTCATCAACGAACAAGAACTGACTTACCGGGGAAATCAGTATACCAACATTAGCAGCATAAGGGTTTCGTCGAACTATGGCAACACTACTCAAGTAGTTTTACTGGATGGCGGCTTAAATGAAAATTACGTCACTTTAGGTCTCAGAAGCCCGAGATCAGGGGGCTTCGGTTATCGGATCGACATCTTTGCAACTGTAAACTGTCATAATAATTAAATAAACGAGTGTTAAAATTGAATGTGTTAGTTAATTACCGAAATAATTCGCAAATCCTCAAATCCCCTTCCCAAGTAAGCTGCAAGTCGTCATGCCTTTGGTAACTGAAGTACTACGGCGCCGATCGCATCAGGTGATCCGTAATCACTCATTTGTCGGCACATACGAGTGAAATACCGTGTAAAACATTGTAATACCTGCACTTTCATGGCTTTTATTACCAACAGAAATGCAACATAAAACCAAATTTTCTTTACTCCAGTTTAGTTACAGTAAGTTGTGCTGCTCCCAATTCCAAAATGTCATAATTTATCAAGTCAAAGACTTTTGACAGATCAAGTTGCACTTTCGGTGAACAGTTAGGGTTTGAACCAAAACTGCGCACCATTTTATTAGATGCCTGTAACACACCAGCTCATATCACTTATGTTCAAAACTTGAACCATCAAGTCCTAGAGACCTACCTCATTTCATTTTACTTTAAATAGTTTTAATAACCTTGATTGAGCATCTAATGTCATATAACTTGTGAGTATCACCTTCACACGGGGATTGAGTACTTCGCACAGAAGTGCCTGTTGTAAGCGAAGCAGACTTGAAGTAATGCATGAATATATTAGCTATATTATATAAGATGGGGACTCTGGTTACCCTACTCACATGGCGTAATATACTGCAACCGCCGCGCCCTGGGGCGGGAGAAGGAAAGAGGTGGTTTTTACGTTATCCCCTCTCCCAAAAAAGCCTTCTTCAAGGTGCACCCAAATAGTCATAAATATCGATGCAGTTCAACTATAACTGGATTTTAATCATTGCAAAAGCATAAAAATTAACTTTAGCTGCATACATAATAAGTATTATGTAATTCGTCACTTATTACTAAAATAATGAGCGATTACTGTTGCTCTTTTTATTAGTAAATCAATTCAAATTTTAATTTTGTTTGATACATTTTGTGCCTATCCATTAACGAAATACTAATGTACCTATTATTATTGTCTGCAAATTAAACTGAAAATAAAAAGTTCTTTCCGGTAAGCCTCAAGCATAAAATCGTAGGAGAAAGTCTGGTCGTCGGGGACCGCGTGACGATCTCTGGTAACCTGGTAAGCGCAGGTCTGCGGATGGCGAGCAAGGATATCTTGCCGCCCGACCAGAATCAGACCCAAGGGTACGGCGCTTAGCGACCCGAGCAACTTTTTTTGAGGCCGGTATATGTATATTCTGTTGGCATTCCAAAATTGCGAAGGACGTTATCTTTAATAAATTAACAACGACTGGTTCCCATCTTATTCAGTTTTATTATAAAGGCTTACAAATTACGTTACAATATTTTTCTCAGTGCAAAATTCTTAATCATAGACTTATAGAGTAAAGACGCCATAGTGCTGGACTTTCCACTTTCATAGACAAGTAGTAATTTCCAACATATTCAAATGACTTCTCCCGCCCCGGGTGGGGTGAGAGGCAGTGTCAGACTTTAACTGTCAAAAAACCATCGCTTTCGTTCTGCAGCTCCGGGTCAATGCTTGCTGTCATAATGCATAGAGGGCGCCTGCCAGTGACAAATAGCTTGTATCAAGATTAAGAACTGATGGTGGAAGGAAATAAGTACGATGTGAAGGACATTGTAGAGAATGGCGATGTTATAAAGATCAGCGATGTTTGTTGTGGCTTGCACACATGAACTGAAAATGAGGTAATAAAAGGCGGGGAGAAGTAAAAGAGTTAACGAAGTAAAATTATTTAAAGAGCGTCCTTGGCTCTCTGCGCTGCCGTACGCCCACACATCCAGTTCAACAACAATCAGTGCACAATGGCACCCCTTGACCAAAATAATACAAAAATAAGTATTTTAACAAGTTTTTTATTAGATTTTAATCATCGCATACCAATACACCGTATACATCAAGTGTGTAAGAGAAAAACGTATTTTCTTCAGTAACATAACCTAGTTTGATGAAACTTTGCCCAAGACCTCCTTCTAAGACGGTCAGTTCTAGATCTGGATTACCGGGCCAGCCCTCAACTCTTGTTATTCTGGCGTAGTCGACCAAACGTATAAGTATTTCTTGTCTGTGAGCGATCCTATGTGATCCCTCCACATAGTGATATGTTCTGGAAATAGTAAAGTAATGTTAAGAGCAGAAGCAATCAAACAGAGAAGCTTTAACAAAATATAATAAATTATTTGACATGAATTATTCTAGAAAAATCTCTTTTAGTTTCAAGGCAATTGGGTAGATTTCTCAGTGAAATTATTTTGGGAGGAATTGGGCCTCCGGCAACCTCACTTACACGGCGAAACGCAATGTAAGTTTAGCTTCATGCCGGTTTTCTGGGAGGCCGTGTTGTCACTCCCGTCGAACCGGCACATTCATGCTGAAGCATGACTCAAACACGAAATAAGAGTGCTATTTAACGTAAAAGAATGACCCGAGAAATGCTTATCTGCTTAGTTGGATGGTGAGAATCTTGTTGTTGAATTATAAACTTACCTGGACAAAAGCCTCTCATCACCGCCACTCTTTGATCCTAAGATCAAGCGAAGCTTTGACGCATTTAATTCTGGTCTTTTAAACTCAGCTCCAGAAAGATCTACAGCTGCATACACATAGGTAACTGCTAGCAATGCTATCAACAAAACACTCTTCATCTGAAACGGAATAATTATTAAGTTATAAATTGTTTCCTTTCATAGAATAAAAATCAAATAATTTCATTCATGAAATAATTTACGTAGAGTAAGAAATGTGTATCTTTAATATTATATTTACTTTATATTTGTACAGTACCTTAGCTGTTGGGCTCCGAAACGTTGTGTCACTGAATTTAATCCTGTACTGTAATACATACGACTTCCTTCATTAAGTATTTATACACAAAATGATTGCGATATCTGTCAACAGGATAAGATTAAACAGCTATCATTATAATACTCCTATCTCTTATCTCATCGCATCCAGGTGGTTACCTAATGATTACATATTGTGATTTGCCATTGTCATATTCCTGGATAATTCCTGAAACTGCGAACTCCCACTAAAGGATTTTGACCCAAATGCAACAATCACCGAGCCACCTCTACAACAAGCTTCCTGTTCTTCGCTTCATCATCATCATCATCATCATCAGCCTATAAGTTGGGCACTTACTGCTGAGCAAAGGCCTCTTCTCACTCGGAGAAAGTTAGAGCATGAATCACCACGCTTGCTCAATGCGGGCTGGCGATTTCAAACTTATAATTAGAAATTATAAGTCAAGGTTTCCTCGCGATGTTCTTCGCTTCGCTCGCATAAAATTTCCATAGAATGGGTAGTTTCCTTTGCCTGAAATAAATAATTTAATCTTATCAATAAGTAGGTACAATGAATGAATCATTAAAATATAATCATATTTCATTGATTGATTTCACACCATTTGACTAGTTGGTAACTACCGGATTCTCTTGTAAAGAATGTAAAATAAATATTCCAAAGCCTGGTTTGCTATTCAATGGTAAAGGCTGAAGGCGAGTGAAACAATATATGTCGTATTTCTAGCCCTGCCAGATAAATAGAAAGGGTATACCTCAGAGTATAGACTCTTACATTAGGCAATAAAATTGTTTTTACCCTTTGCTACTACGTATTTACGAAAGAGTGAGTTCTCGCCTGGTGCGAGTAGTTTGCTTTACGTTAAGGCGATCGACAGGTTGATGACGCTCGACGCTCTGATTGGTCTGTTACGAGTTCATCAACCAATCAGAGAGCCAAACACATAATCGTTTCGATTTTGTTAACTTAAAGCGAAATAGTACTTAGAACTCTGGTCATGATTAAAATTAAGTATGTAGGAATAAAAAAAAAGTGCCCAAAATTATTATTTCATATGCTAGAAGAATTGAGTACAGCCATCACATTAACAAACAAACAATCAAAGCCTCCTGCGTTATAATGATATCTTGTGCACACGTATTTATAAAATATGCCTATGTACTTATATTAATACTACGTACATAATTTACCTACATCCTCCTCTCTCGATTGTATCACATTGATAAATCAATCAACAAAAGTTAAAGCTTAAAGTATTAAAAGATTACAAGTGATAACATAGATAAATAACAGTCACTGATTCTTTATAAATAGTGTTCCCATCACAATATAAAGGAGTAATCGAAGAAACACGAAATCCGATTTACGTTTAATCTTCTCGATACGAAAAAAAGGTAAGTTATTTTGTGGACTTTTTGTCAATACAATTTTTCGTGGAGTGCGAGGGTAAAATTACTATAAAATAGACCAATATTTTCTTCAAAGAAAACGTTTCTGCGAATGCCACGTCGTTCTGTAAGGAACTTCTGTTACAACCATTTTAATTCCAGATGAAGATCCTCGCAGTTGTTTTGTTGGTGGCAATAGCAGCAGGAGTGTACAGCAATGAGGAGCAAGGAGCCAACATGTTGAACTATGATGAACAAAGTATTGAGGAATCAGATCAACTGGCGTCCCGGTCATCCTTTGGATGGGGAGTGGTTGGAGATGACGACAGACTAATATCCAGGTAAGCGGTTGTAATACTTTATATTCCAATAATTATTGTAATTGGGATTGTGACTCTGTTTCACTGCGTGAGTAAGATTACTGGAAGCCTAATCCAGTAGAGTGTACGCTAAAGTATGGGGATTGGTGGAATGGATGTGGTAGCATCCCTTACCATAACATAAGGATCAGAGGGATTTTTGGACAGCAAGAGTCTGTCCCGCCACATCCTAGCCGAGAGAAGCTTTTTGATGATTTGCGCTACTCATAAAAACGACGTGTTTAATATGTATTTGCTTCTTTTTGATTTTCGACGTTTAACTGAGTATAAATTCTTAATTGTGTACGTGTGACTTCCAAAACTTTCTTTGACAACCCTGGCTATCGTGATACTTTGTAGACGATGCCAACATTTTGTTAAATATCTAAGCGTCGTCCTATTGTATGATTGTTTTAATACTGATGTGATACTGTTTAAACACGAACGTGTCCAGTTCTTTACATTAAAGATTTCGTGCTTCGTACCCAACCTAAATCTCCTTGTAGCTGATCGTTCAGTAGCCTTTCAAAGACTAGTTTTCGGAATGACTGTCCGGCAATGAACAACGAAACAGCTCAATGTGTTTTTATTGATTTCAGTACATATCACGAGGCATACGATTTACCATACCTCATCAACGAACAAGAAGTGACTTACCGGGGAAATCAGTATACCAACATTAGCAGCATAAGGGTTTCGTCGAACTATGGCAACACTACTCAAGTAGTTTTACAGGGTGGCGGCTTAAATGAAAATTACGTCACTTTAGGTCTCAGAAGCCCAAGATCAGGGGGCTTCGGTTGTCGGATCGACATCTTCGCAACTGTAAACTGTCATAATAATTAAATAAACGATTGTTAAAATTGAGTGTGTTAGTTACTTACCTAAATAATTCGGAAATTCTCAAATCCCCTTTACAAGCGAGCGGCAATGTAGGTGCATGTCGCAGGCTGGTATTTAAACTACTACTATTACTCGTTCACTAATTTGTCGGCCTATTGTAATACCTACACTCCCGATTTTCTACTCTAATTTTCTACAATTATCGTGCAAAAGAACTTTCCTGACAATAACGAAGACAACGAAATAAGAATGAGCATAATTGGTCCAGGCAATTTTAAATTATGCGCTTACCAACGCACTTTGCTATTCATTTTTGTAACACAAATAACAATAATTATTGTTTTACTTAGACCAGACATCCATTCAAAAGTCTCATTGTTTTCCTTTTCTTAAGTTAGTACAAAACAGTTATCAACATTTTTCAGGGCGCACGACCAATCAATTTTGTCTGCCATTATAAATAGTATACAGTTAGGACGGTCCTGAATCGCCGTATCATGGATGCACAACGCATACGTATAATGACATAGAAGTCATTAACTTTGGCTTCCACAAACATTAACCATCGGGGCTGTTCCAACAGCATTCTCATTGCATTATTATATTGAATATCGCAAAGCTTTCTAAACCTTCTGCGTAAACTTATTTTTTTTTTATGTAATTGGTCGGCAAACGAGCAGACGGATTACCTGGTGGTAAGCAATCAGCGCCGCCCATGGACACCCGCAACGGAGGAGTTACGAGTGCGTTGCCGACCTTTTAGGGATTAGGGACTTGGAGATTTAGGGATTGAGGAGGGATTGGGGGCGGGAAGGATTGGGCCTCCGGTAACCTCACTCACACGGCGAAACACAACGCTGTGGTTATTTCACGCCGGTCTTCTGTGAGGCCGTGGTATCACTCCGGTCGAGCCGACACATTCGTGCCGAAACATGGCTCTCCCACACCTAAACTTTTACAAGCTACAAGAGTAAAACGACTGGCAATTTGCTCTAAATAAGGTCAGTTTTACTTCATTAATAACTATCGAGCATCGAGTGAATCTGCGGGCGGGCATGCTACGTCTGGCTGCCAAAGTATTGCTCTCTCTCTATCAACAGTCAAAGAATCCATAAGTAGATGACAGACGTATTAAGATAAGTCGAAACATAAGCAGGTATATTATGGCGTACCTTAAACACAATTACTTCACTTCTAGTGTCGTTATACTCAGGCCATGAGCCTACGCATATCTCTCACAGACAGTAAATAGCTTGCTCAGACACACAGATGTGATGAGCAGAGAAGCACAATGTCATCAGAATAAATGATATTTCGCATTTTACCATCTATCGAGCACCCAACCATGTTGCTGCTCAGCTCTCCATCAAACATTTTATGTAAATATTAAACAGACTAGGTGAAATTATCCCGCCCGGCCTTACTACGATTTATAGGCTGGAATGTAGATTTCAGCCTATAAATCGCAGATTTAGTAATCACCCACTTAACATAAATCTATTCTTAGACCAGCATTGGAACACATTGATTATCTCAGTTGGTAAGTAAGTCTGTGTCATCCGACAACTTTTACCACAAAATGTCATACGTTACCAGGTCAAAGGCTTTTGATAAATCAAGAAAACAACCATACATTGGTGTCCTCCCTGTCGGCTTAATATCGGACTGTCTTCTTGAGGCACGGAATTGCACTTTCATTGGTCGGAAAATCACTTAATTAAATGCCGTTAACACACCACCGCATCGCAAATGTTCAGCACTTAAACCATCATGTCACGGAGACCTACCTCATTTTTCATGCGACTTAAAACAGTTTCAATTTTCTTGGTTGGGAACCTTATATCGTAATATATGCGTAATAGATAAACATTTTATGAAACACATCTATTATTATAACCAAAATAATAAGATATTACTGTTGTTCAGAATTCAAATGACATTCGCATCCGTTGAAAAAATACTAACGTACGTATCTAGGTATACTGTCAGCAATAGGCAGTAACTCAAAATAATAAGTACTTTCAGGTAAACCTCAAGCCATAAGGTCGTAGGAGACACTCCAGGCGTCATGACGAGCAATTAGGGTATCTCTGACGAGTAAGGGACTACTTTTTGGAGCCGGTAATTATTCAAATGACTTCTCTCGCCCCAGGTGTGGTGAAAGGCACTGTCAAACTTTAACTGACTAAAAACCATTGTCTTCCTTCTCCTGCTACGGGCCAGGACCGCGGTTCACAGATTGCTTGCTGTAATGGATTTAATAACTACACAGTAGCCATGCGTGTGATGTCTAACTAACCTCAAATGCATGGGGAGTACCTTCCAGTGCCAAATAGCTTGTATAAAGTTTAGGAACAGATTTTGGAAGGAAATCATTACGATGTGAAGGACATTGTAGTGGCCAGCGATATTATAAAGATCAGAGATGTTTGTCGTTGCTTGCACACATGAACTATAAATGAGGTGATAAGTGGCAAGGAGAAGCAAAAGAGTTAAGGAAATAAAATTATTGATCGAGCGTCCTTGGCTCTCTGCGCTGCCGTACATCCACGCATCCAGTTCAGCAATGATCAGTGCACAATATCACCAATATGACTCATTAAAGAAAATAATACAAAAAAATATTTTGACAACATTTTATTTATTAGATCTACCTAGTTATTTTATTTAATCATCGCATGCCAGCACACCGTATACATCAATTGTGTAAGAGAAATCCATATTTTCTTCAGTAACATAACCTAGTTTGATGAAATTTTGTCCAAGACCTCCTTCTAATACGGTCAGTCCTAGATCCGGATTACCGGGCCAGCCCTCAACTCTTGTAATTCTGGCGTAGTCCACCAAGCGTATAAGTATTTCTTGTCTGTGAGCGATCTTATGTGATCTCTCAACATAGTGATATGTCCTGGAAATAATAATTAAGCAACGTAAAGAGCAGAATCAATCAAACTTAAATAATAACTACACGTTTACAGTGTGGGTTAACATAACAAGACAAATAAGAGTGCTATTTAACGTAAAAAAATGACCTGAGAAATGCTCATCTGCGTTGTCAGATGGTGAGAATTTTGTTGTTGAATTATAAACTTACTTGGACAAAAGCCTGTCATCACCGCCACTCTTTGATCCTAAGATCAAGCGTAGATTTGACGCATTTTCTTTTGGTCTTCTAAATTCAGCTTCAGAAAGATCTACAGTTGCATACACATAGGTAACTGCTAGCAATGCTATCAACAAAACACTCTTCATCTGAAACGGAATAATTAGTAAGTCATAAATTGACAAATAATTTCATTTATGAAATAAATTTTGTAGAGTAAGAAATGTGTATATTTAATATTTCATTTACTTTATATTTCTACAGTACCTTAGTTGTTGGGCTCCGAAACGTGGTGTCACCGAAATTAATCCTGCACTGTAATCCATACGACTTCCTTCATTAAGTATTTATACACAAAATTAATGCGATATTTGTCAACAGGATAAGATTAAACAGCTATCATTTTAATACTCCTATCTCTTATCTCATCGCATCCAGGTGGTTACCTCATGATTACATATTGTGATTAATTTATCAAACAAAAAAAACAAACTTAATTTATCTTATCAATAGGTTCAATGAATGAATGATATATCATATTTCATTGATGATTTCAAGTAATTTGACTAGTGGAAAACTACCGGGTTCTCTTGACTTGTTTGTTTTTGTTTTGTTAAATAGATTTTCCAGAGTCCTAAGGTTTGCTATTCAATGGTAAAGGTTGAAGGCGTGGTATAGTAATGTATGTCTTATTAGCCGTGATAGGACATATCTGGAGTAGGCAGCTAGATAGGAAGAGTATTCCGAACTCTTACACAAGGCGATAAACTTGTCTTTACCCTTCGCTACTATATATTTATGAGAGAGTGAGTTCCCGCCTAGTGCGAGTAGTTTGCTTTACGTTAAGCGATCGACAGGTTGATGACGCTCGGCGCTCTGATTGGTATTTTACGAGTTACCCAACCAATCAGAGAGCTAAACGCAGAAACGTTTCGGTATGGTTAACTTAAAGAAAAAATTGTACTTGGAACTCTAGTCATGATTAAAATTAAGTATTAGTAAAATTATTATTCCATAGAATTGAGCACAGCCATTACATTAACAAACAAACAATCAAAACCTCCTGCGATATAGTGTTATCTTGTGCACACGTATCTATAAAGTATGCCATGTATATTAATACTACGTTCACAATTTACCTACATCCTTCTTTTTCTGAACCTACTTAGTGACTACTCGATTTTATCACAATGATATATCAATAAAAACAAACTTAAAGCTAAAGGTATTAAAAGATTACAAGTGATAACATAGATAAATACCAGTCACTGATTCTTTATAAATCGTGATCCCATCACAGTATAAAGGAGTAATCGAAGAAACACGAAATCCGATTCACGTTTGATCTTCTTGATTCGAAGAAAAAGGTAAGTTGTTTTGTGGAGTTTTTGTCAATACAATTTTTCGTGGAGTGCGAGGGTAAAATTTCTATAAAATAGACCAATATTTTCTTCAAAGAAAACGGTTCTGCGAATGCCACGTCGTTCTGTAAGGAAGTTCTGTTACAACCATTTTAATTCCAGATGAAGATCTTCGCAGTTGTTTTATTGGTGGCAATAGCAGCAGGAGTATACAGCAATGAGGAGCAAGGAGCCAACATGTTGAACTATGATAAGAAAAGTATGGAGAAATCAGATCAACTGGCGTCCCGGTCATCCTATGGATGGGGAGTAGTTGGAGATGACGACAGACTTATATCAAGGTAAGCGGTTGTAATACTTAATATTCCAATAATTATTGTAAATGGGATGGTGACTCTGTTTCACTGTGTGAGTGAGATTATTGGAAGCCTACTTCAGTAGAGTGTATGAGAAAGTATGGGGATTGGGGAAATGGATGTTCCCTACCATAACACAAGGATCAGGGGGATTTTTGGTCAGCAAGAGTCTGTCCAGCCACACCCTGGGCGAGAGAAATCATTTGATGATTTACCCTACTCCAAAAAACGACGTATCTTGTATTTATATATTTCTTTTCTTATTTGGATTGATATGTAAGATTTCCATTTCTGAGTACGTTCCATTTCTTAATTTTGATCGTGTGACTTCGAAAACTGTCTTTGACAACCCTGGCCATAGTGGAACTTTCTAGACGATGTCAGCATTTTGTAAAATATTAAAGCGTCGTCTTACTGTATGATTGTTTTAATACTGATGTGATACTGTTTAAACATGAACGTGGCTAGTTCTAAATCTCCTAGTAACTGATCGTTCAGTAGCCGTTCAAATACTAGTTTTCGGAATGACTGTCCGGCAATGAGCAACTCAATGTATTTTTTATTGATTTCAGTACATATCACGAGGCATACGATTTACCATACCTCATCAACGAACAAGAAGTGACTTACCGGGGAAATCAGTATACCAACATTAGCAGCATAAGGGTTTCGTCGAACTATGGCAACACTACTCAAGTAGTTTTACTGGGTGGCGGCATAAATGAAAATTACGTCACTTTAGGTCTCAGAAGCCCAAGATCAGGGGGCTTCGGTTGTCGGATCGACATCTTCGCAACTGTAAACTGTCATAATAATTAAATATATGATTGTTAAAATTCAGTGTGTTAATTACTTACCTAAATAATAACCAATCCCCAAATCACCTTGCAAGTTGTAGCACCCCCCCTTTTTTTGAGAAGGGAAAATCATCACTTGACTACTCCTCCCAGGGTCGGGCGGGGGCTCCTTCCTGCCCGACGCTCATATCCAAAGAGTTTTTGAATTAGCTGGGATCGTGGGTCAAGCGTATTAAGGTATTGCGGCTTCGGCCTAGAGCAGGAGATGGGACGAGCTGGTTTTTAGTTAGTAAGAGAATTTGATGATTTTCCCCACACGAAAAAAAAAGCCTTGAAGTCACCTAAGTTATCCTCTTCGGGAAAATAGACTCCGGCAAAGAATTGAACTCCTTAGCTAATCTGTTTATATAATTGCAAGATTTGAATAAAATTTGGCACACATATAGATAGATTTATAACTGGGACAATACATAGGGTATTTTACACCGGGTAACACAGGCAAAGCCGTTGGCAGGAAGGTATGTCTTTTAAGAATTGCACTGTAAAAACTTCATATTCTTTAGAACAACCCTCAGACGTCAACATTCTTACACACGGTACATCATGTTTATGCTAAGAAGGAAATAAAACACGTTTCTCGCACGTGTATCGATTACGAACATAACGTTAGACAGTTGCCGTGGAAAGTTTATAATATTCCTGTAATGATAAACTGTACCACGACACAGCTGTTGAAAAACAACACGATTTATTTATAATAAGAGAGAAGAAAAAAAATTTATAAGAAGAAACAATGAATTTATTTATCACTTTTTCATGTCAACTATCCTAGCATCAAAAACTTGCTACTACTTGCTACTTCCAAATTTGTCTACGCTTCTTTAAAATTTTCTTTTTTATGAAACTTCTGACCACTTTAGTAAAAGAGTTATCATCCGGGGAGCTAGCGCAATAAGGTACAGCGGACTTGGCCTATAGCAGGAGAAAGAACGGGCGGTTTTTAGTCAGCAAGAGTCTGAAACTCCCTCTTGCCTCACCCTAGGCGAAAGAAGTAAATCAATAATTCCCTCCCCCCCTCTCGAAAAAAGAACGGCCTACTTATTCACGAGTCATCATGATCGAAGGACATTGAGATTCGTGAACTTGTATATTTCTACGCAATAAGTCTAATATTGAAGTCTACACTGGTTAATATTTAGATTTATCAACATCTAAACCCAATACTACTTTTTCCGATCAAAAAAAATGTTCTGAATCCCATTTTCAGTAAAGGGAAGGAGAAGGAACGGGGGGTTTTTGGTCTAGTAGAGTCTAACACTCTCTGTGTTAGTCTAACACTCTCTGTGTTAGACTCTTACTGACCAAAAACCCCCCCGTTCCTTCTCCTGCTCTAGGCCGGTTACGGTGCCTCATTGTGCTTACCCTGCAACCCCGGCTGACCATCAGCCCTATAGGGCCTCGTCTGTGGTGGTCTATTGGCTCCTTGAGGAGCGCGGAACGCTACGCGTCGTACCCTTGGGTCTGATTCTGGTCAGGCGGCAAGATACCCTTGCACGCCATCCGCAAACCTGCGCTTACGGTTACCAGAGATCATCACGCGGTCCCCGACGCCCAGACTTTCTCCTACGATTTTATGCTTGAGGCTTACAGAAAAGAAATTTTTATTTTCAGTTTACATTGCATACAATAATTATAGGTATATTAGCATTTCGTTAATGAATAGGCACAAAACTTGTGACGTAAAAGTGACGTAACAAAATGAAATTTTTGAATTGATTTACTAATAAAAAGAGCAAAAGTAATCGCTCATTATTTTAGTAATAAGAGACGAATTACACAAAACTTATTATGTATGAAGCTAAAATAATTTTTTATGCACTTGCAATCAGGTGCTTACCGGGCACGGCAGCTTCGGTAGGTTCCTGTTTCAGATCCAGCGGGAGGAAACGCCCGAGTGTCGTCATTGTGAGACCACCTAGAGGATACGGTGGAGCATACGGTAGCGGTATTCCCTGCCTGGGCTGAGCAGCGCCGTGTCCTCAGGGAAGTGATCGGCGGCGGCGACCTCTCGCGCCCGGCCTTAGTCGAGGCCATGGTGCGGAGTGAGGGTAACTGAGACGCCGTCTCCTCCTTTTGTGAAGCAGTCATGCTCGCAAAGAGAGAGACGGCCCGCGTGAGGGTTTCTCCCGCCCCAGTCCGGGTCGGTTGAAGGTATATTACGCCGTGTGAGTAGAGCTACCAGAGCCTTCTTCCCCATCTTTTATAATATGGCTAATATATTCTCGATTCCCGTATGAAGGTGATACTCAGAAGATAAATGACATTAGATGCTTAACCAAGGATATTAAAACTATTTAAAGCTGGTTCAAGCGTTGAACATAAGTGATATGTGCTTGTGTGCTATAGGCATCTAATAAAATGTTTGGTTTCAAACCTTGATCTGTCAAAAGCCTTTGACTTGGTAAATTATGACATTTTGGATTTTGGAGATGAGCAGCACAACTTACTGTAACTAAACTGGAGTAAAGTAAAATTGGTTTTATAATGCATTTCTGTTGGTAATAGTGCAGGTATTACAATGTTTTAAATGATATATGTATGTAATAGGGTGACAAATGCGTGAACGGCTCTCCTGATGCGATCGGCGCCGTAGTTCTTCAATTAGCAGAGGTATGACGACTTACACCTACATTGCCGTTTACTTGGAAAGGGTATTTGAGGATTGGGACTTATTTAGGTAAGTAATTAACACACTCAATTTTAACAATCGTTTATTTAATTATTATGACAGTTTACTGTTGCGAAGATGTCGATCCGA